TACGGTAAGTTCAACAACGTAGAGGTGTTTGTCTGAAGTGGAGACAAGTAAATCAGGACGATATTCATCACCCGTAATAATCGAGGGGCTTTCAAATCCAGGAAGATCAACAAGTAATTTGCATTCGTTTAAACTTTGAAAGGTTTTTGTAAGAAACTTTAGTATGCAATCGTGTCTCCAAGTAAATCGTAATAATAATAATAATAATAATAATAATAATAATAATAATAATAATAATAATAATAATAATAATAATAATAATAATAATAATAATAATAATAATAATAATAATAATAATAATAATACACTTGTAGTTTCATAAATTCACAACGTCAAAAGGTTTGAAATTTTGAAAACACCAAAACTGTCAGCTGTTTGCAACGGCTTGTTTTACCTCGATTATACCTAGAAACTCTTCATTCTCTTGAAGGGAATTTCGTGAGCCTGCTTTTGAACGCTGTTGAACTTTCTATAAAAAAACGATGGCAAAAGAGATTCATATTTTGGTCCATCTAGGCAATGATGTGTTGACTTTGGCAATCTAGGCAATGATGTGTTGACTGGACCTCGGAGATAATGCATGTCGAAGAGAGCAGTTTTTGAAACAGCACACTCGCCTTCCACTCTTTAAGAAAGCTGGTTGCCTGATCACCTTTGACCGTTTCGTAAGCTTCTCTTGCTACCTACAAGAAAAAAATGTATTAATATGGCGGCATATGTGATTAGCACACTTCCTGTTAGGGTTAGGGATTTAGGTTTTGTAACTTCCATGGTCTTGAAAACTTGGTTCTCTCCTATGCTTATCTGCAGGCTTTCTCCGGGTCCTCCGGTTTCTCTGTCTCACCAAAAACTAATCCTTAGTTCATGATATTTTTGTGTGTGTTTTTGATATGTATACTCAGGTGAATATGTTTCTGCATGATGTTACTCTGAGTATGTGTCAACACCGGGCAGGCTGAAAAGTTTGCCTGACCACGGTGGGAATCGAACCCGCGACCTTTGGGATACTAATTGTTGTCAGGACACATTTTTGACAACAATGTTCTGGAGGGGTGGGCAGAACGAGTAAACATTCAAATAACATCAAGATATTTGTGAATGAAGAATATTACAACCTTTATATCTTTGGTCCAGAATGTCTGAGTAGCGTTAGAGCTAGACGCTTGTGGTGCAACTTCTTTAATCTGCCAACAAATAAAACATCTGTTGTTATAGATGGATTTCACAAAGCATTATCGTGCAGCAGATGGTGGTCAACCAGTGAGGAAATAATGCCAGTTCTTTTCATTATATGCATGTAGTAGTCTCAACTATGTCCTTTGTAAAACTTGCCGAGACTCGCCAACGAGACAAAGATAAAAGAAAAATAAAGAAATACGAAGAAAAGTTGGCACTTACCTTTAAAACGACGGTAGCAGTTATTAAAATACAGATTATATTGACAACAGTCAAAACCAAACTTATAGTCGCCATAATAGCCGCTTCTTTTCCCATGTCACAACTGTAGGTAGGCATGTAACTGTTGTTTTTGAACGGTGGACATTTTAACTGAAAATGATTTGATAAAATGGAATTAAAGTACAAAATAGAATTAGTGCATGCATAGTTGTGACAATCTTTATATACATAATTGGATTTCTTACTAACATTCATGACGAGAACAAAGGAAATCACGACTGTGGAGGAGCTTGTACACCTGATGCAAAAATTCTGCTGACTTGCACAAATATTAAGTTCTTATAATCATTCATGTATTTAAAATAATTCAAGAAATGTAAACGTTTTGATCCAGACAAATCACACAACACGGCCACTCATGCTATATATGTATTATAATTTATTTCATTTATTTCAGTTATACCGTTGACGTTTTGAATTCACCGCTGTCCAGTAATTCGGGAGGTTTTATAGCAGAAATAATAGAATACGCCCATAACATCCCCTAAATACAAAGAGGACATTTCAATATTAATACGCAATAGTCTAATGTTTCATGCTTAAAAATTCCCCAATTCTTGAAGTATTTTTCCGAAAATTTCACTTTTGATGTACCGTCGTTATCATCCCATCAGGATAAAACATTCGCAGAAATTCTCTCACGTGAAACTTTCATATCTATCACGTGCATTCAATCAGTCCATAAAGCTAAATCACGTTCAACTAGCATCAAACTTTTTGAAACGTCCAAATGCTTGTGATAAACATTGAGTTTTATATGAACGTAAAACTGGAGTAATACGAGCAATAAAATTGCTGTAACTTGCAACAAAATCTGATTTCAACGCATGTTAAGCAGAAATGTTGACACATATTGCCTCGTGATTTGTAATTTATGTTAAACATTTTTAATTAACATACGTTGAAATCAGATTTTGTTAAACAATATTTTATTTGCCACTGTTCATCCCGAGATGAAATCCACAGCGACCAACTTACAGAATTAACTGCAGGAGGCAGCAATGAGGCGGATATTGCCACACCCACCAGAGAACCAGCGTTACCACCCAACACAGATAACGCAACACCAGCACCTGATGGTAACGCAATGCAAACACCAACCCACAAACTACGAGTCATACCCCTAGACGAATAAATGTGTTATTGTGATAATCATACAATATCCGTATTCAGGAAATGTCTGTATTAGAGAGATGTCTGTATTCGAAAGATGTCTGTATTTGGAAAGATGTCAGTCTTAGAGAGGTTTCCATAAGGGGAGGTTTGACAACCTTGACTGCAATACTGTATTTGTTAAAATGTTTGTATGCATTTATACCTGCTAGTCATTTCCTGTGTAGGCCAAATACCCTTCGTGCTATCCCATGATGCACCGTTTACACCAAACGGACCACAAACACAACCGAACAGAAATCCTAACAAAGTTGCAAATAAAATTATTTTTGTTTCAAATCAGGGTGTTAGGCAGAAGTAAAAATAAATCCGCGTTTACCTGAAATTGGGAAATTTATTTTAGCCTGAAGCCGGGCATTTCTTTGTGGATCTGGGCGGTTGCCCCCTCTCGATTTTTAAAATTTTTGTGTCTTTGAAATGGTATTTCCCGCATTTTGCGAGTAATTTTGAGCAAATGTAGTTATAAACATGTTTTTAATGGCGTATTAACAACATTGAATTTCTATAACTATTTTTTGGCTGACCCAAATTCAGACATTCCAACCACTGGAGGTTAAATTTAGGGAGATTGTTCAGTGAATTGAAATCTAGTTCTTCTGGGAAAAAATAATAAAAATTAAGTCTTCTGAAATTAAGTTTCCTGCATTTTGGGACTATGTTGTTATAAGTGATCCTATAAATTGCCATAAAGCAACTTCAAAGAAGGTCAAGACAGACTATTATGTGGCTAAAAACAGTATATTTATAATATTTTATGATATTTCCTGAATATTCTGAAAAATCGGGAGAATTTGATAAAAATCGGGAGACCGGGAGATTGCATGAATTTTCGGGAGACTCCCGGTAAAATCGGGAGAGTTGGAATGTCTGCAAATTGGGAAATTGCGACCTGAAGGTAATTGGGAAAAGCACGTTTAACGCGGAATTTTTTACTGTTAATTAGTAGCTAACACCCTGCAAATTGATGATCATGTCTATCGTTTTAGCATCAAACACAATTAATTGCAAACTGTACCAACTGTTACTGAAATCATTAAACCACAGAGTTCAGTTTTAAGTCCTGTATTTCTCAAGCTCTTGTTCTTTATAACTGTACCAAATGTTCCACCAAGAATTGGACCCTATATTCAGAATTATTACTTTTTCAGTCAACTTTAACCATTACTTAGGCTGTCTAGGCTATTAGCCCGTTTTGCAATTTAGTTAATTTCCAAAAAAATGCGAGGCAAGTTGGAGTGGGGGAGTTAGATGCAACAATTTGTCGTGCGTCATTTAACATTTTCTGCAATCGCAATACGAACGCAATTTTTAATTGCGACACCAATTTATAAGAATGTTACGTCGTTTTGTTACGCGTTGCAGCAATAGCTACCTGTAGTACAACAGCTTTGTTCAAAACGGCCATAAGATAGCTTTGAGGTTAAAAAATTACTAGTACATATAACATTACTAGCAGTAAATTTCTAGAAAATGAAACAACCAAACAGGGAAAGATAAATAACGAAAACAAATATACCATAAGTGGTGATACCAGCATACTGGCAACCAATACCACAGCATTGTCCTCGACTAAACCAACTGCAGCTATCAAACTGTACTAAGAAAACACAATGAATATATTCTGCATAATAAGTATAATAACGTAGTGCTGTTGTAGCTAGTAAATGCAATCATTTTCACATGAAAACTGTTTCTAATCTTCTAGGGATATGTAGCTCACTCAGATACAAACGATGGCATCCACGTTTGAGATTTGTGACTAATTTTGGGAAACTCTCACCTGGCTAGGACGGTAAACATCACAAAATCAAACGTTAAATGTGCCTGCATTCTTACACTTTCCACAACCTAAATAATTGCAATAAATTAATTAAGTTATTAAGTTCAATAGTAGAATTACGACAGTACTATAGTGCAGAATGTTCAGAGAATCAATAAGATAGCTTATCTAATTAAGTCAGAAAAGTAACCGCTTACTTGTTCTACTGTCAATCTTGATTTTATTGACTTTTTGAATTGGTCTTTGATAGACTCCTTCTCACTGTAACGATTTTACGAAAAAGAATGTCACAGCAACAGTGATTTCAGTTTTGAAAAAGTACGAACAATTTATCAAATGCAAATTAAACTTACAAACTAAGTAATGGTTCATTTTCAGATTGTGTAGTGAGAGTACTTTCACATCTTGAAGCCCTTTTACTTTCATTTCCTCGAGGTTGAATGTGGACAGATGTGGGAATGATGCTAAAACATAGAGTCACTTAAAATGATGACATCAACAATGAGGAGTTGAGTGAATCTTGGAAAAGAGGGGTGAGGGCAGGGGCGGCGGAAGACTTCTTCAAATGGGGGAGGGGGTTAAGTGAATTTTGCTGAGTTATCAAGGCAAATTTTGCCAAGTCGATCACTACAACCACTAATTAATATTTGTTTTCTCAAAATTGTTAGCGAGCAGGGGTGGTGGGGGCACAACATCAAAACAAATTTTCCAGATAACATATTTGTCCATCTTGCATTTATAATAACCACTGTTGTTCATTCCATTTTTCCCTAATTTTTTCATAAATTTCTTCCCATTTTAGCTATCATTCTTATCGTCCGAAATCGGTGTCACTCAATTATTTTATTTTTCCTTCCTATCCAAATCCACATTTTGCCGATTCAATATTTTGCTGACTACCTCATGACTGGGGGGTGTTCCACCCCAACACTCCCTCAAGTGCCGGCCCTGGTTAAGGGTCAGATTGAGAACAGAATTTAGACAGGATGCCGGGATGGGTGCTAATTGTTAATGGTGCATCTTTTGAATGTTGGTTTTTTCAGAGGGGGAGAGGGGGGTGGATATTTTCCAGGGAAGGTGTGAAATACCCCCTTGTGCCACCACTGTAGCTGCTCACAAAATGTTGATTTTGTTGACTCTTTCTGAATTTTTGGGGGTGGGTGAAGATTTTTCCTAGAGGTGCATCCTTGTTTCAGCTGCAAGTTTTATGGTTTGATTGGTAGAGGGAAGCTGTGCATACCATTTCAGAGGGGGTGCACCCTTAGTAAGCTATTTTATAAAAATGAAGCTGGTATGGGATTCAACAAGCATTAATGGAGACTTTTTATTCATAAAAGCCTACAGGTTCTAATTATGAGAGCTACACTCATATTGGATCAAATATTAGAGTGATCTATTTTTTCAGGGGGTAGAAGGAAAAGGGTCATATTTTTCTTGTGGTGGTGAATTACATTTTTTTTGGAATTTTTTCACATAATACCTTACTGATGATTTTGGTCTCTTGCCAATGCCAACATGTGTTAATCTCGCCAAAATTTTCTCAACTCTTTCACCAGTCTTTTCCAAGAATACCACCTTATAATTCAGAGCTTATGTAATTAATTACCATACATTTTGTTCTTAGAAAAACGTTATTAAGTCTGATAGATGATAAATTAACATTATATACCTGATAAAACTGCTTGTCATTTGTGACTGTCCATGAGTCACCTTCAACATTTAGTGAACTCAACTCATTTTGTAAGACCTTTATAATATATATAAAAAAATTATGACAATATAACTTACAACTTGCAGGTGCATCTGTGATTGCAGGCTTGCAGCCTTGATATTTTGATACCCAGTAAGAAATAGGTCCTAATTTAGGAGTCTTCGGGTTAATTTGTATGGAAGTGTGCCCTGCACATGCTATTTCCCAGTCCAGCTATCTGAGAGCCATAGGCACCTGGTGTTATAAATATGGATCATAAGATATACTGATAACGAAGGAAATAAACTCAGTTTCGAAATATCACCTACTCACACCAACTTGTCTTCGTAGCTCAGTTGGTACCATTGACCTAGCAAACCGATGGTAGACTGGTAGTGAATTCAATTCCCACCACAGTGATATTATTCATATATTAAGGGCCTGTTTAAATGGAAGTAGGGTGACCCTATCAGGAAGGTTACCCTAGCAAGCGGGCCACCCTAGTCTAATGTCACCCTACCTCATGTAAACGCTTGCTATTTTCTGCCCCGCTTGCTAGGGTAACCCTCCTGATAGGGTCACCCTACCTCCATTTAAACAGGCCCTTATATCTGTTTGAAGAGTTGATATTTCATGCAGTAACAATAAAATGTCTTAAACTATAATGACACACACACATTCTGAAAATCCTATACCTTCGCTAAATTCAGAGGACCAGTAAACATTTCCACATCATCTGGAGTCTGATTTGCCTCACTAGTATCACCATATAATTCAGCCTGGTTCTGATCCGAAGCCTTTATATCTGTTTTATTCTCACTAATGTCAAATTTGACCCCTTTGACATTTTCATCATCAGTTGGTCGTTTGATATCCTCTTCTTTATTCCCTTCTGAGCTTACAGGTTCATTGTCCCCTTCACTTTTTAAGCTTTTACTATTTTCCTCGTGGTACGGTACACGTATAATGAAAACAACTGACGCCATTTTAAACAAGTAAAATTAGGAAACTGAAAATACGCAGCTGGAAACAACGGAAACTGTTTTATTATGCAACATTTAATATGCAAATCATAAATATAATTGCTGTCTGGCATTCACATATATTTGAAAATAATTATATACACAAGTTATTTTTAAAATGTAGCCAATCGCGTGCCGCGCTGATAATTCGAAATAGGAATGTTTCACTTATATTGTTGCAAATTATTTGTTAGAATTTACTATTAAATTCGTGCATGCGTGTTGCAAAATTACAATATTTTATTTTAATAGCGAAGCTTGTGTCAACTTTTTTGTTTATATGTGATCATTGCATATTTTCAAGTTTTTAATAATTTTATATATTTTGCTTTTGATGTATTATACTAAAAAAGGATATAAAGATCAGTTAAAGTGGCTGACCAAAATTGCTTTCTGCTCACATCGAACACAGCAAGTCAATAGTTCCCTCCTGAAAAATTCCTAAAATTCCAATCTTCTCCTGTGATTTAAGCTGATTTTAACAGATTTTCCTGCTCAAAATACGATTAAAATTATTAATACATTCACAAAAAGCCGAAATCTGAGCGCAGTTGCGTTTCTCTTTGCTGGGAAAAGATTTTTTTGAGGAAAATTTGAGTATAAATAAATTTTCCTGTCTGGAATGTAAACAGCTTGAGGCCAATCTAGCCTTTCTGCGCAAACTCGGCAGAAGCTCTCCTGTTCGGCATCATTTGTGTTTGTGGTCGAAGCATTGAATAGTGATTATTTTGAGGTTTATCGCGATTTCCAACCGTGTTATGACACTTGGAAACACTTTGTGGATTTCTTTCAAACATTTGTGGAGTTAAATCAAGGCTACAAGACTTTTGAAGGCAAGTAAAACGAAACGAAGTGAAACACAATAACTTCGAAAATATGACTGCAGTGTTATATTTCACTTCGCGTAACATCAAAACAGATATATTTGGCTATTTACTCTTACTGGTTGCAACGCACGTAATAAATAGTTCAATTTGTGGTCTCTTTGTAAAGATCGAAGCTTCAATATGATGAAGTTAGATCACCGAAAGGCTACAAAAAATTGCTTCTACTATTTTCATAACAGAATGTTTTGGCACAATATTCGATATAAAAGCAATATAGTGGCTTGGAATTTAGAAAATTATTAAACGTACGTTAGAAATTTTGGAATGGAATAAAGCTTAATAGTTTAGAAACTAGACTTTCTTTTTATATTTAAAAGAAATTTTAGTTTCGTAATATATTTAGTCACCTAGTGTAGCGCCTTTGTTATGAAATATAGTGAAATAGTAAACTCGGTTTGTTTTGGCCAAGAATATTTAGGCTGCTGCGATTTTTAATAATTTTTTTGTTAGCCTTTTACAGTTTTAGATTGAAATTGGGTAATACTATTTTATAAATTAGCTATTTACTAGGGATTTATTTGCGTTATTGTTTATGAAAAATTGCTCCTTTTTGCGATATTTTGATTGAGTTTTTGAGTGCTATATATTGAATCAAGACTGTATTAAATTCCTTGTACTATATTTTGTATAATAATGGTATAACTTGCCTTAATCGGTGTGGGAACCTCACAGTATCTTAACATTTTTAAGGACAGATTTATTGATTGCACAAATAGCAACAAAGGTTTTAGTGTTATGTAACAGATTAGAATGAATCATATTCTGTGAGTGAAATAAATGTAAATAGCATGTAAAATGTTTGGGTCAATGTCTGGGGTATTCCCATCATACCCCTTATGGAGAAGTTCTTTCTATTCCTGCCCAACATATTCATATCTTAGCCGCTATTTGTCAGAACCAGGCTGGTTGGCCAGTGTTGATATTCTATGTCATATTGATTTTTATATATTTTCCAAGATTGTATTGTGATCAGGCCAGCCTAGTTTGCTGACAACCTGTTTGAGTGAAACAGCTTTTCAGAAATTAGTTTAGTTTTTACCCTGAAGAATTTAGTATAGTTCATTGTAGGCATAGAACACATGACGAATTCCACAATGAAATTGCCCCATTATGAAGCTTGAAGAATTCTGAGATGGTTGATATTGAGAGAGGAACAGCTCTTTAATGGAATAACCCTATATGGCTAACAATCTGTCAAACAGCTGATTTGTGTTGTTACATTTGTGCCCTGAACAGGGATGTATGTTTGAATGGAGATGTCATTGATTAAGCCCTTGTCACCTCCTAACCCCACACCCCTTAAAAAATCAGTATCTACCTGTGGTTGTCTATGGAAAGTTTTAGCATTCTGTGTAATATTTAAATTTATTAGAATGAAATGACTAGAGAAGCTGTGAAATTCTCTGGTTTATATGTGGGATGACAAGTGTGGGTGTTTCTTGGAATTATGCCCAATTGTTGTATCCAACTCAAGTTCATCTTCCTTTCTTTGCTTGAGTCTTTTGTGTGGGGTACAATTTTCATTGCCTATTTCTTTGATTTTAAAGCTGCTGGTTAAATTAAATCTGTTTTTCCACTTGTGGTAAATTTGTTTGCATGATACGGAGCGAAGAAAATATTTAGTAACAAAATTGGTTACCAAAAAAATTACCTAAAAAAGGACCAATATATCTTTTCTGTTGTGATTTTTTTTGCTAACTATCAGAATGCAGAAAATTTTGTCACTTCAATTCACATGAACCAATTCATCTGGCAAAAGAGCTTTTTAAGCAGTGAGTATGCACCTAACCTTACATCTACAACCACTTTCCATATGAGAAACTTGTTCTATTTTTCTCTGGTCGAGGCATGAAAGAAGTGAAAAATGTTTTCTCGTGGAAATAGGGATATATATTTAACAATTATTCGCCGAAGGCGAGGTGATTATCGGTGAATAAAAACCGAGACGAAGTCGAGGTTTTTATTCACGATAATCACCGAGCCTGAGGTGAATAATTGTTTTAGTATAATTTCATAGGTGATTATTTGGAAAAAAATTTAAAATTGCACATTTCTTCTTCTTTTAATTGACAAAACGGCTTCGGCCGCCATTTTGAAAATCGCTTAGGTGATTATCGCGTAATAATCACCTCAACGGTAACCAATCAGCGTGGAGAATTTTCAATAATCACTTATGTAATTATACTAAAAGGTGTTATCCCTTTGTTATTAAGAAAAGTTAAAGCGAGCAGCTTAGGTTATGTAATGTGTGTATTGTAGTAAAACAAACATTGTGTGATAACTAAATTATAAGCTTGTGGCTGATGCTGCAGCAGCACCCAGCGGTGTGTGTGAAATGACCCTTGCTGGCAGTATGTGAGGGAAGCATGCTAAGGTAATGTTGTTTGGTAAATGGTGCAGTAGAGGAGCATTGGTTATTATCTAACACCCGTACAAGACCATCTCTAAAGAGCTAACATGTACAGTAAACTCGAACAATCTGGGCGAGTCAAGGTTAAGTACCAAAAACACCAGAAAATTGAGATGGATAGGGATTCAACCAACTTAAAAAGTACAAGAAGGCTATTAACTTCTCCATGAACGGCCTTTGCTTGAAACGTTGAAGGTTTACGTATATTTTCAGCTAGTTGAATTCCTATCCATCTCATTTAACATGTACAGTAATTTGATCTCAATAACCCATAATTTAATAATCAGGGTGTGCCGGGTTAATCACCTGTGCATTTCATTGTGTATATGACATTTCATAATTATTGTTTCTTTATTTTTGCAGGTGTTAATTATTTGTTATTCAATGCTGAATGGGTCAATAAGTTAAAATGACGCTTTTGTGTGACACAAGTGAAGATCAAAAAACAGGTTAAAGGCATGTCACACTTCAACGGAGGAATAGATATTGATCATTTATCAGGACCAAAGGTAATATCAGGACCAAATTTATAATTCTTTGGCTTCTTCCAAACTATGAATGGAATGGTGTTCAGTTGGTATCCACTCTTTGTTCAAAAGAAAGTACTGTTAGTGATGAAAATCGAATTCTCTCAAGCCTTTACTGTGATGTTTAATATAAGACCTTTGTTTGTTGATTTCACTGCAGCCATCACAACAGCCACTCATTTAAAATAGAAAAAATACTTCAAGATGTTTATAGCAAAGGCCCTTTGTCCTGCTATCTCTTCTGATCAAGGGCCTTTGCTTGAGATATTTTCCACATATTATTGTTTGGGATTTCCGGCAAAGCTCACCATGTAGGATATGCTGTTTTTGTATTTAAGCTAAGGCAGTTATCAAGAAAAAAAGCCAATGAAAATAACTTTCTAAAACTTTCACATCCATAATATAATTTCAAAATGTTTTAATTTTTTTTAATTCTATGGGATTTAATATGTAAAAGGTACAATATTAAAAAGAATTTGTTGTCATTTATGTATAAACCAATAGCTTGAAGATTAGCAGTAAAACTGCCTAAAAACGTTGACAAAACAATAAAATATTACACCTTCCATACAATCCTGTAGCTTACTAATCAAAAGCTCTGCAAATAATAAATTTACATAACATGGTATTTCCACAAACCATAACTGAGAGAAACTAACCTAGTTTATTATTCTGTACAGCTGAATGGTAGCTTACCAAACCTGCTGACATATGAGAATGGCAATGTCGACAGAGATCCAAATGACCAGTTTACAGATGATATGAGAATACAAAATGGGGCTTATACCAATGGTTATTTACAAGATGGACATGTAAGAAGCTATAGTATAGAACCTAATTATCCTCGCACTATGCTTGCATTATTTGAAGTCAAATTCTACAGTAGTAAATTAGTAAATACTGAGCATTACAGTTGATTGCATTGGCAAACGATGCTTGCTTTATTAGTAGATCAAAACTTCAAAAGGCATGGCCTAATGGTTTGCCTTAATTAATGTGCCTTTTTTAATCCTTTCCTTCCTGACAAGCTCAAACCATTAAATATTATGTGTGCAACAGGACTTATTGATCTAGATGAATTAAAATGTTAATTGTCTGCAGATCAAGGATTTTAGATACAGTATACTGTAATATCATTAAAAGCTCTCTTCATGATCACATTTTCTGAGGTTGTGCTTCCTCAGCACCCCCAGAGAAGCAGCATCAACCAGTGCCAGTGGCAATGCATATTAAGATTTTCATGAAAGGCTGTCAGGTTAGTTAACATAGGTTTCACATAAGATCATAGGCTTCCGTTAAGAGTCTCTGCGTCATATATGCTTATAGGAACCAGTGAGTACATTTGCAGTGGTGCTTGAACTAGCTGAAAATGAGAAACGGTTTGGTTTCTCCGTTGTTGGTGGAGTTGATGAAGGCTTCAGACCTCGCATTGACGAGATTGTTGAAGGTAGTGTTCTTAGACTTGTTTAATTTAAACTCCACATTTTTGGAGGGAGATGGCCTGGATATTTCTTCAATATTCTATTTCCCCCGTAGGATTGCCAGCAGCAAAAATGGGCATCAGAATTGGAGATGAGATAGAGAAGGTCAACGATAAGTCTGTCCGTTATTCAACACATGCACAGATTGTGACAACTATCCATGAGGTAAGGATATGAGTCTGTATGATGAGATCAGGTGTCTGTCATTGTATCCAATTTTTCTGTTCTATCTGATGCGAAAATGAGATCACACAGAGAACAATGAGTTTACAGTAACACAGTTTGATTAAAAGTTTGAACAAGCTTTCGTACATTGATAGGGAAGCAACTACCTGTAAAATATAAGGAGAATGGACCATTTGCATTTATAGACTAAATTTTGGTCTTGACAAAAAGTTTCATCACAGCTTGAAAGAGCATCACAAAATTAGTAATATTCCAAAGTTTCGTTGCCAAATGTTGTAAAATGCGGATAATATAGCCTTGCGAAATTTGCAATTTTCAGTCATTTTGTATTACAAACGGGAAATTGATGCCCCAACACCCGATTGGGCTGTCAATTTCGCGTGCGTACAGTAATACAAAATGACTGAAAAACGGCAAACTTCGTAGGGCTATATTATCCGCATTTTACAACATTTGGCAACGAAACTTTGGAATATTACTAATTTTGTGATGCTCTTTCAAGCTGTGATGAAAGTTTTGTCTAGACTTGTCTAGATCAAAATTAAGTCTATAATGCAAATCGTCCATTTCGACGTTTCGAGCGAAGGCACTTCGTCTGGAGTTACTAGCCAGTGGTCTTCGTGGCTGGTAACTTCAGCCCAACGCTCCCTACCAACGAAAGTTTGTTCATATTATTGGCACTACCCACCCTGGCACAGGCAATTCAAGATTCTAATTTTGTATTTTAGAGTGTCAGACAAGGTGAAATAACACTGACATTGCGACGAATAAATCTCCGTATGCCAGGTATTCATTTTCAAATGAAGTATTTACGAGCAATAAAGGAATTAATATTTGGTTGTCATAAGGGCGTGGTCAGATAAGAAAATACTGTATACAACGTACATGAAATAAAGTAGCAAACAAACTCCGAACAGAAATTCCATCTTGAAACTTAATATTTAAGTAGAGCAAGAGGACACAATATGCAACAGTGATATTTCGAATTTATTGCAAATTCATCATCAGACATGACAAAACAGAAACTAAGACAAATAATGTTGTTCATCAATCTCTCCACTAGATGATTTTTGTTGTGGAAACACTGTTTCTTTTATCTTGGTTGTCTACTTTCGAAAAACATGATGAGAACACAATATTTCCTGGTTTGCCCACCTTGGTTTGTTTGCCTTCGGGAAACATGGCTAGGAGAACAATGTTTCTTGAACAATATTTTCAAAACTTAAAATGGGTAATTCCATGGTAGTGATGACATTTTTTGAGAAAAAAAGTTGCCAAGAATTTTCAGAAGCTATTGCAAACAATTCTGAACTGAAATATTAAGTTGTACTTTATATGTAACATGAGTCACGTAACATGAGTCACGTGTATTATGTAGCAAACCTTACTGTTGTAATCCTTAATATAAAATTTCTTTGTGTTGGTAGTTTGCCTAACATATCGTCTGTTACTTGATAGACATTGTATGTTTCTCCTTCCCATGGTTCCCGAAGAAATTCAAAAGTAGTTACGTTGGTGTCACTTCATGTCACTTTGTCGTAACATGAGTCACACACCAATTTACGGCCACCAATCTTATCATGTTATAATCAAATGTTTAATTTTTACTGTGAATCAGTAGCTTACCATTATTTGTACCTGGTTGCAAAAATGTGACAGAAAAAAATATATTAGTTATTACACCAGGTCAAAATTACTCTGATAGTTTGGTTCAGAATGTAACATGAGTCACCATGGAATTACCCAAAAGTGTTTTCTTCCCTAGATAACACGAATAGTTTACCCGTGCGAGGACATCGTAGCCACCGGAATAATAATGTGAACGACCTCCACGCAAACATGTCGGAGAAAACGCGCGAAAAACTCGAGAACATCATTCTCAACCGAGGACCTCGGGCACATAACGGCGGCCGACCACCGTCGCACGAAAGCACCCCGACAGGTAGCCTCGAACACTCTCGTAATGGCGGTCGGGATTCTCCGCGAAACAAAATGTCTCCGACCGGTTCCTACACTTCCGGTTCAACGTTGAGTCTAAATCACCATGGCAACAGCAACTCGTCACCACTACGGACAATCGATCATGCGTTTGTGGGTATGGATAACTATGGATATGAGTGGCGGAAAAGTCATTACGGGGTAACTGCTCCTGCATACAACGAGGCCATTCATGGTCCCTCACGTAGGTCGCATATAAGTTCTATTGGTTCAGAAGATACCATTGTTCCAATTATGGATTCTAAAGGTATGTTTTCAAAGAATCCAATGTTACATGGGATATGCATAGTGACGCAATGATGTTGCACGAAAATTGACACATATAATACAATGATTCTTGTCCACCGCGCAAACAACCAATACGAAAACTTGTTGTAGCAAAATTTTCCCCTTAATGGGTGACTAGGAAGAACCGTATAGAACTGATGGACTTATCTTGTATAAATAGAGGAGCTAAACCAGGGTTATAATACACCCTTCCGGAAAGTACGTCATCTTGGCTATATTTTATTTATATATTTAGCTTTGCCAAATACCAACTAGGAATAGCATATGGCCAATTACTGTGGGACCTTTTTACCTAACCCACCCTGTCAACTTTCCCTGTGGGAGGAAACCGGAGTACCCGGGGGAAACCCAGGACTTTCGGCAGAGCGTTGACTTTTACTCTTTTCACATGAGGACTGGGTTCGAGTCGCATTGGGTGAGGAAAAGCAAGTGCGCTAACCACTTCGTCACCGAAGCCCTATCTTTCCTACATCTATAAAGCCTTGTTTTCGTGACTGAGAAATCAGGCTTTAAATAATGTCACATGTATGCACGAAAACGAGGTTTTATAGCCAAAGTGACGCACATTCCGGAAGGGTGTATTAAATTAGTTCAGTTGAATTTATGCATGGAACAGAAGAACATACTTCGCGCAAATTCATGTACAGTTCAGTACTTCATGTACAGTTCAGTACTTCATGTACAGTTCAGTACTTCATGTACAGTTCAGTACTTCATGTACAGTTCAGTACTTCATGTACAGTTCAGTACTTGCTTCAAAGTTCTACAATACATAAATACCAGTGTTTAAAATGTATAATTATATTGTGTGTTGTGTGTTAATATGCAAGTAATGATATCGTGCAATTTCTAGATTGTCAAGCAGTAATTGCTACTTTAATGCGACATGCTACGAATGAGAACGACGATCAATTAATGGATGATTTAAGAATTTTAGAATCAAGTCTGCACACGAGACACTTTCGAAATGCCTTGTCGGTAAGATATACAATATTATAAATTGTTTTATTTAATCGCAGTTTCTTTATATATTTCACTATGTATGTTCCTGTGTGCAATAGCTATAGCTGCAGGTTTCATTCGCTGTAGGCAAAGACCCGTGCCACGCGAATCAATTCAGACCTAGAAAAAGATTTTTTTCCTGGCAGCAAAATCACAAAATTAAAATTTCCTGTGTAAACCAAATGTAAGACTTTCTGCATAGCTTGGTTTCAGATAGTGTGCTGTAGTGCTGTACTACTACTACTACCATCAATCTCAACACATGACAATTTCATTTCTAAAATACATTTTGGAATTTTGAATCAACAAGCAAATTGTATGCCATTTCAATATACAAGATGACAAAAAATTTCCTGGTGGATGTAAGAAAGATATTTTGTTAAAAATTTCCTGGTGGATATACTGTAAGAAAGATATTTTGTTAAAAATTTCCTGGCAGTAGTGGCGCTGCTGGACATTCTCCAGCACTGGTTGCATTTCTCGTATTTTAGGTGCAATGTAAAATAATGGAGATGGAGAACGAAGGAAGGGGACCTCATTTTGTAAACGCACAACGTGACGACGCATCTGTCATTCGAGCGCAGGTAATCATGTGCCGTTCATTACGTCAAGTTTTAATTACAAATATGCAAGAAACAATGCAATGAATAAAAACTGACTTTGGTTTCATTTAGATTACGAATTTCATTGCCAACCAACGAGTGTTATCTAGCGATGCAAGAGAACTTGCCGAAATTTTAGACTCTGTTGACGTAAAGGTACCTATCTTTTTAAATGCCCGCATTAGATGTATAATTCGCATGTTTGGAATCATTCTGCTTCAGTATAATACAGATTCCGCGTTGTATAATCCCCTAATCCTAAATTTATACATACTACGCTGCACGTAGCTCGAATCCTGTCATTGCGTGCATTATTCTATGCAGGAAAAATCTACAAAAGGCCTGTATTTCAAGGGCCACCGAGGGCCATCTAGGCCCCTGGGCAAAAATTTGGGGACGCCATAAAACTGTTTGTGGCCCTGGGCAATTATAGTCCCCACTTTTCGGCGACCCTGACACTAATATTGAGAAGCAATCGTTTAATACAAAACCCTTATTTCAGGAACTGCTAATGGCACACGACAGAGCAGCTAAAATAGATCGTCCGAACTTCACCGAAAGTGAACCGACCGCTGGATTCGATCGTAGCGACAGTTACCGAGTATCTCACGATCGTATCTCGGCGGACCGAATATCCACCGAGGAAGATGAACAGGTGAAAATTGTTAAAATCGAAAAAGCTGACGAACCGCTTGGAGCAACAGTCCGCAACGAAGGGACAGCAGTTGTTATTGGAAGAGTTGTTACTGGTGGTGCTGCGCAGAAAAGCGGTACGTTTGACTTTGGCATGGTGTTGTTATTGTAACAAAAATGTTCATTTCCATTCCTGCGTCGAGCATTAGTCTGATTTAATTATTCCACCACGCCATCTGCGTTTTGTGAAAGAGCGAAGACTCCTTTAATTTCCTCTTATAATTATAGTTATCCAATATAAGGGGCTGCTTACAATATGATCCCACTTTGCCGGGACAAGATGGAAGGCATGATGGTTTTTACATTGTTTTTTTTTACATCATAAGGCATAATCATCCTTCCTCTCATCTCGTCCCGGCAAAGCTCGATCATGTAAACGGATCGCAAAAGGTTAATTTTCGTTTACTATTCGGATCTTGTCGTATGAGTTTGTCTCCTGATTCATCATCTTATTCCAGGTCTTCTCCGCGAAGGAGATGAAATTATCGAAATCAACGGAGTGAACATGCGCGGCAAAACCGTGGAAGAAGTTTGCGAGTTGCTTGCAGATATGAATGGAACATTAACATTCTTAATAAAGCCTTCGAATAAAACGCAACATAATTTGTATACATCAGCTGAGCTACACGTGCGAGCATTGTTCGATTACGATCCAAATGATGACGAATTCATACCGTGCAGGGAACTGGGTCTAGGGTTTTCAAAGCGAGATGTTTTGCATATTGTGAATCAAGAGGATACGAATTGGTGGCAGGCGTCGAGAGAGGGGGCGTCTGGTCAAGAGCTGGCTGGCTTGATACCAGGAAAGAATTTCCAAAAACAGTAAGTTATTAGACACCTTAAGATTGACGTTTACGGCAAACGTCAAACCGCTAGCGATGTTTTTTTATTTTACAACTCTATTACAACAGCTTTTACACCAGTTTTGAAATAATGTTAAACAATTATGAAACTTGTGCTTTTTAGCAATGATTTAAGAAAGCAAATTAACCACTAGTCATGTATTCACCCGAAAGCAGTAAATTAAGATTTGTCGTTTGAAGTTAACGTTTGACGTATAAATTTCGTACTTGAACTGCTACGAGGGCTTGTAGTCGTTCAAGCATGGAATTTATACGCCAAACGTAAACTTCAAACGTCAAATCTTAATTTACTGCTTTGGTGAATACATGACTAGTGGTTAATTTGCTTTCTTAAATCATTGCTAAATACCACAAATTTAATAATTGTTTAATATATTTCAAAACTGGTGTAAAAGCTGTTATATAATAGAGTTGTAAAATCAAAACTTCGCTAGCGGTTTGACGTTTGCCGTAAACGTCAATCTTAATGTGTCTATTGTGTCTTTTTGTTTGCAGCCTGATTGAAAAAAAAAATGTAAATCAGTCTACGTGAAGCTTGAACGCTTATAACCTTCATATTGTTAATGTGATGCTCTTTCGCAGTTGAGCGACAAAATGTGGTACACTTATACTCACCCCAGGACACGTGTACCACAGCTTGCGATTGCGTTTCATCAACTTACATGAGGGGATTTTTGGTTGGGTTAGGTATCAGATTGTGATTGGGGTCAAAATCAACTTAATTAATACCCGTCAGTCTAATGGTAATATGAATATACATGTATTTCTCTCTGATTGTGACCCCATGTAGTCCCAACTCTATCCCTAACCCCAACGCTTTTGTGACCGTAACATAACGATACATATATAACCAAACCAATTACTGTGCTAACATTACTTTTGCTATCGAAAATAGAATAAGTTTGTACATCTCTGACTGATCACAACTTTAAATTTCAGGAGAGAAGAATTGAAGTCCAAAGGAAAGAAGGAAGAGAAAAGAAAACGTAAGCGACATTTACCATTCATGCACTTGTCGTGGAAAATCTGGTGAACGAAGTTTGTTGAATATCTTCTTTATTTTGCAGCCACATCTTGTGGATGTTTTGGGAAAAGTCGAGGGAAGAAATCTTTACGAAATAGTGAAAGTGAAGGTGTGTTTTTACTCTTAAATACAGCAGCATTTTGTTGGTGATCAGTGGTCAGTTTATGCGCCTTTTACTTCTCCGACCTGAGTGCTTTTCCTGAAATACACAATTGTCAGATTATAATCGGTCGCATGTAAGAATAATGCTTCCAGTTTAACTCTACTAAGCATCGCAGGTTTTCTCCTTGTACTCCATTTTCCTCTTGTGTGCCACTGGAGCAGCAAGGAATGGCGCTCACTGGACCTCTAGGAAGAACAGTTTAGAACTGATAGAACTATCCAGTGTAAATAAAGTTAGTTTAGTTTAGGTTTCCTCTTGTAGTGACACTGGAGCAGCAAGGAATGGCGCTCACTGGACCTCTAGGAAGAACAATCTAATAAATAAAGTTAGTTTAGTTTAGGTTTCCTCTTGTAGTGCCACTGGAGCAGCAAGGAATGGCGCTCACTGGACCTCTAGGAAGAACAGTTTAGAACTGATAGAGCTATCCAGTGTAAATAAAGTTAGTTTAGTTTAGGTTTCCTCTTGTAGTGACACTGGATCAATAACAGATGACTCCTACTCGACCTCTAGGACGTTCTTTGGAACTGATAGTGCTATCCAGTATAAAATTGTTTAATTCAGCTAATATGTTTGTTTGTTTTAGATGAAGACGAAGTTCTCACGTATGAAGAAGTGGGTCTACTTCAACCAAGTAGAAATCAAAAGAGGCCAATAGTATTGATTGGTAAGATGATAATTAGTAATAATGTTCCAAGAATACGAAAATAAGATTATCACATCAATTACTAAACGCATACATCATTTTCTGTTAGGTCCAACCAAGATTGGCAGACGGGAACTTCGACATCGTTTGTTGCAAGTTGCGCCAGAGAGATTTGGTTCAGCGGTTCCTCGTAAGTAAATAAAAATGTTAAAAATTGTGATGTACGTGAAATGACGGTAATCTGCTTTCCTCCTGTCGTTCATACACGTAAGAACTTGTCAACAAGATGTTTTCGCAACAAGCTTGTAGCAAGCTTATCAACAAGTTGTAACAATGTTGTAATTTGCTACAAGGTTGTTACTCACACAACTTGTTAACAAGTTACTGAATTGCAGGATGATGACAAGTTGTTTGGAACAACTTGTAACAAGCCTGTTGAGCTCAACAGCCTTGTAGCAAGTTGTCAACAAGCCGTTGCCTACTTGTCAACAAGCTGGGAACAAGCAGCGCGAACACATCCTGATAACAGGTTGTTGAAATAGCATTGATACAAGTCTGCTGCAGGTTTGCAACAACTGGTGGATTTTTTCGTGTGTAGATTAGTGTTGCATGGTTTCAAAACATTTGAAGACGGTTTCTTCCGAACCGTTTTAAACCTCCACACTTACACATAAAATAATTTCTTTTCTTGTCAGACACGAGCAGACGTCAGGACAAAGACGAAGTGAATGGTAAGGAATATTACTTCATAACAAGAAATCATTTCAAGGAATTTGTTTCGAGTGGGAAGTTCGTAGAACATGGTGAATATGACGGACATTATTACGGAACATCGCTGGATTCCATTAAAGAAGTTATAGACAGCGGGAAAGTCTGTGTTGTTAATCTACATTGTCAGGTAAACAATACATACAACTATCTGAAAAATAGAAAATATACAAAAGTACAAAGTTCTTTTTGTATTTTTTAGGCAGTTGTATGTCCTACAAGACTGCTGGGGGTAATTCCAGCTGTGGACTAAATTTTGATCAAGGCAAGAAGAACGAAATCCAACACCACAGCTAGAAAGAGCATCTTAGGATGAGTAAAACTGCGAAGATTGGTTGCTAAATGTTGTGAATTGAAGAAAATATAGCCCTGTGAAGTTCGCAAACTTTGTATATATATATATACAAAGATAACTAAATATATATAGGCAAAAATAACCACTTTCGGCTCAAAAATGGTTATTTTCTCGCGCGTAATGCAAATATATACAAAATTTTCGAACTTCACAGGGCTATATTTTCCTCATTTGAAAACAATTCGCAACCAAACTTTGCAATTTTACTCATTTTAAGACGCTCTCTCCAGCTATGGTAATGGATTCTTCTTGTCTAGATCAAAATGTCGTCTATATAGCTGGAATCATCCATTAATAACTTCCATATATTAATAGTTACTCAAATACAAACAACTGCAATCTTAATGTAGATTACTTTTTACATTATCCGGATTATAGCACTTACTCTAGCTCTTGCAGGCAATCCCTGTGGGAATGTTTGCTGAGAAAAAACACATGATTTTAGACAGGGCTTTGGTTAACTTTATCTTCATAAAGCGACAATCCTATCATATAAATCCACTCCACGATTTTGAAAATTAGTATGCTAAAGCGTTTCATAAACTTTGCCCAATCATTAACGTATCTTTTTTTTACAGGCTCTCAAAGTTCTTCGTGATTCAAAACTCAAACCATACGTGGTCTTCATATCTCCACCCAATGTCGACAAAATTAAACGTTTGAGGAGAGGGAACATGGATTCCTTTAATCCAAATGCTAAACTGAGCAGTGTAAGTAGAAATAATAGTGCATTTCTTCATTTAAAACAGTACCGGACAATTCGCGGAAATATTTGGAGGGCGAATTTAGGTTGCCCACATAATTATGACCACCTTATATGATTTCGTTGTGTTTTGATTTTAAAGAGTTTGAGAAATTAGTTTGTTGAATTACTGTAATAATCAAATTAAATATTTTAATTGTCAAATTAGGACGAGGAGCTTATTGACATGGTAATGAGCGCTCAAGAAATGGAGGACAATTATGGTCATTATTTCGACAAAATTATCGTGAACACGGACCTAGAACGAACATTTGATGAACTAATAAAAGCGATCAATGAAATCGAGGCGAAACCGCAATGGGTTCCAATACGCTGGGTTCGGCCCAAATAAATCAATTTGTAGGTTGTATTTTTTACTCATATACATATATATATATATAGATATATACTTATACAGATATACATATATTTGAATATTAACCCTGACACACAGGGTATCACTAAGCACTGTCGTGCAACAGATGGGTCAACAAACAGCTTGAGAGAATGGAAGCCAAAGAATAGAGCGTTTGCACATGACGTCACAGTCGCCATGTTGGTGTTCTAATTCAAAATAATTTTAATTAGACTCTTTTGTCTGGAACACCAACATGGCCGCCGTGGCTTTTGTTGAGTTGGTCCCAGAGGAATGAGTGCAAACCCTCTATAGAACCACACAAGGAAGTACTGTACATACAGAGGTCTCATTTCAGGGTAATTTACTGTAAGAGATTTTTTTAGTTCGCCATGTTCTTAGCGAGTGCCCTAAAGAGAAGGCCGTCAGGCTCCTGAAAACATATTGAAATTTAAGTTCAAATCCTGGTGGGTGAATGCCTCTCGCTAAGAACATGGCAGTTGTATTTTGGTAAAAATTACCTTACGGTTTTCCCGCAGAAGCGAGACCTCTGTATATAAGTACTCTGTGATAGAACTGCGAAGTGTATCGCAGATAGTTTCAACAGTTTTAAACTTGACCACAGTCTGCTGTCAGTAATGTTTACTGAGACCCAACAACACAGGGACTCATATTGATGGCTAAAGAAGAGGGTTTGTTGATGATATTTTGAAAGAAAAGATCAAGTGTATACAATTTTAAAATCTTACCTAGAAGGGAGTTACGCTCACGTCCTAAGCATTGTTGCGCTAACCAACATGTATAAATAACATTCAGTAGAAAATTCGTTATTTTAATTTTATAGCAATCTAATTATGTAGAACCTGTTTTTAATGGTAAAAGAAATGGCCTCGTTGCCATGCTGATATTTAAAAGCATTTCAACTTTAGAACGAGACTTAGTTGCGCCTAATTTATATTAACATTGAAGAATTGTAGATCAGCAGCTATTCGTGAAAGTGCCCTATCTTTGTGAATGTTAAAATACATATTGGACATCAAGGTTTTCTTTTGCCATTTTACAAACTGAAGTGGGAGGTATTCGCTTAATATGTGCTTCAGTTGCGTGTTTCATATTGTGCTGAAACTCCCATACTTTAACTATATAGGTGTTTAGTATAATCGCTGCCAAGAATATACATATAAAATTATTTTTGTAATCATTAATCTATTAATGCACGTTTGTACCATACCCACACTATGCATTAATTCGCATTTATAACAATATATACTGAGGAATTAATTATATGATGATAATTAGTGCAATGTCATGCAAAGAATTAATTTGATGTAATGTTTCGAATGTTCGTAGTAATAAAGTAATAGTTTTCAAATATACAGTTTGACGTTTTTATTCCAGGAAAATAGTGCCATCCAGTATTAAATCATTATATGTTCCATTGTCTTTTCATTGTTTTGAAAATCTCCATGTCATCCAGTCATGATCCAGTCAGGGGCGAAACTAGCCCCTTTTAATTAGGGG